AGACTATGTAATATTTAATTCCCAGAAATGATGTGGAGAAAGGACCATAAAAGCACAACATTCACCATTTAAATGAGCAAGATTCCATCCTAGGAAGTTCTCAAAAGAATCTAAAAAGATCAAATACCTGCCTGAGAAAGAAGTGACTGCAAAATGTCAAAGCAAATTCAGGACTACTTAGAGGAGGGAATATTTACATCTTAAAATGGTCAGTGCACTATGATTTTATGTTTATGTGTCTGTTCTGAGTTCCGAAAGGAGAAAGGAAGTAAGATCATCAAAATTATCTCATTTTGATTAGGAAAAAAAACAGCATTTATTTCTATGTTAAGGTCTGTGCACATTTAAGAATGCAGAGAGGTCCCTTCCATGAAATATGGAAATTAAAAACTAAATATTAAGAAGATGCAACAGGCACTCTCATAGCTTCTGAATTTGTAATTCATTATCCATTGTTTCATAAGTTATGTATTACAACCCTCTGATATCTGGTATTACCTTGCTCTACCTTTGAGACATTAGACTTATTTCCTGTTATTTTCCAAACATACAACAAAAAATTTATAAATATAGCTGAATTTTTCTAAAGCTTTATTTAAATCACTATTTTATGTGAAGAATCCACAAAAATTTTAACATGCATGTACCAGAAAGGAATATTCCTGATATGCATTTTTAATATCAAGGACATTTCCCTTCTGACCACAGCAAGCAGTTAAATCAAACAACAGCCTGAAACCATTTGATACTCTCCTCGGTACATTACTTTTCTACCATAAAACACCAGATTAAAATTACACCATGTAGTAACATTTTACAGCCTGTTTTTTTGATTTCACCATGCTCTTTGTTTCATCCAGTAAAAGAATAAGTACAGCAAAATATGCCAAGTTTATTTATAGTATGGCAGTTGCTGGAATCCGTATATGTTATGCAGATCAATGCCGTGTATCTATATACAGTGTTCCATACAGTGACAGCATTGTGGTATACAGATGAATACAAGGACTGTTTAAAAGTTTACGCAGCAGCTTGACTGAGACAGAAAAGCAAACCAGCGCATTTGATGTTAGCACTCTAATATGAATCATGCTGGGATCAAAGACAGAAGCTGAAAAGCCAAGATGCATTACTGCATACCCCTCCATCACTTTCTACAAAATACAGTTAAGTCAGATCGCCTTCCAGAGATGACAGTGAAGCCAGATTGTCTTCTAGTGATTGGGAGAAACAGTTGATCTGCTTGAGGGTAGGAAGGCTCTGCAGATGGATCTGGACAGGCTGGATCAATGGGCAGAGACCATCTGTACGAGGCTCAACAAGGCCAAGCTCCGGCTCCTGCACTGGGGTCACAACAACGCGAGGCAGCGCTGCAGGCCTGGGCAGAGCGGCTGGAGAGCTGCGTGGCAGAACAGGACCTGGGGGTGCTGGTCAACAGCCGGCTGAGCACGAGACAACACTGGGCCCAGGTGGCCAAGAAGGCCAAGGGCCTCCTGGCTGGTACGAGGACCAGTGCAGCCAGCAGGACCAGGGAAGTGACCGTCCCCTTGTGCTCGGCACTGGTGAGGCAGCACCTTGAACACTGTGTTCAGGTTGGGCCCTCACTACAAGAAGGACGTGGAGGTGCTGGAGCGTGTCCAGAGAAGGGCAGCGGAGCTGGAGAAGGGGCTGGAGCAGAGACCATGTGAGGAGCGGCCGAGGGAGCTGGGGTTGTTCAGTCTGGAGGAGAGGAGGCTCCGGGGAGACCTGGTCGCTCTCTACAGCTACCTGAAAGGAGGCTGCAGCGAGGCGGGGGTTGATCTCTTCTCCAGAGTAACTATCTATAATAGGACAAGAGGAAATGGCCTAAAGTTGCAGCAGGGAGGTTCAGGTTAGACATTAGGAACAATTTCTACTTGGAAGGAGTGGTGAAGCCTTGGAACAGGCTGCCCAGGGAAGTGATGGAGTCACTGTCCCTGGCAGTGCTCGAGAAACGTGTAGATGGAGGTGCCCAGGGACATGGTTTAGCAGGCAGGGTGTTAAATGGTTTACGCTTGGACCGATGTTCTTGAAGGTCTTTTCAAACTACAATGATTCTCTGATTCTATGTGTTTTACTCCCAATTTCTACTGATATAAATTAGATTAGATATGAGGTCAAAAAAGAAGCCTTTATTCAATTAGGTACAAAAAATAAAGGAGAGAAAAAACTTTGGAAGTTCATAATACAAAACTGAGCTGGACTTTTGTGTTTCACTGTAACAATGAATACAATTTATTTTTATAGCAATGAGACATATAAACGTAGATCTTGTTTTTGCAGATTTAGAAAGTAAATACCCATTAACCCATTAAATCCACTTTTCTAGACATTGTAGTGTTCTCCTGTGCCACGTGCTCTAGGTGACCCTGCATGTGCAGGTTGGACTAGATGACCTCCAGTGGTCCCTTCCAACCTTAAACAGTTCTTAACCTGGAAGGAAGTAGGCTTTCTTTTGAGTTCTCAACCTCCAAATACTCCAATTCGCATCTATAAATAGCTAAAAATGAAATATTCTTCAATTCAGCAACATGTAATTGTCAGAATACATGTGACATTCAAGGCTATTACTGTGCTCTCAATCTTCCTTCCCATTCTGGCTGACCTTCCATCATGTGGTCCTAGAGTCAAGCCTGGAAGTTACTGCTCAGTTTCAGAATGTCTCATATATCCCTTCATGAGCAATGCAGCTATCAACCATTTCAGTATCTCTATTTTAAGTAAAATGGAAATATTTTGCCTTTTTGTGTGTGTATTACAAACAGTATTCCAATAGTGAAAGGAGGGAAACAACTACAGGAAAATTACTATGCAGCATGTCACAGATTAACTAGATTACATCACTACCTTTGGCCTTCAGACACACAATATTTAGTGAAATGAATAACTTATAAATCATCTACATGTACTCTCTGCTCCTTGGATGACTAGCCACTGAGCTTTACCTAGTAATTCTCTGGATGAACCTCATCACTCACGGTTGAATCCAGAGACCAATTTAGAGGGCTTTGCTAAACTGCAGGAGAAACTGTCATCCTCAACATTAAAAGCCTGAAGCAGAAAATTAAGGCTGAATTTGCAAGCATCTCTTTTCTTTATGCAAAAGAAACACCCAACTCTAAAAGTAAGCTGATAAGTGAATATTTCTGAATAATTAATTTCTGCTATATTCACTAAGCCACTTAAATCAGTGATCTTTCTTGAAGATCTCCTTGAATCAGACTAGATAACGTAGTACAAAGCTGCAGTGCTGCACGTTTAGCTGTTAACTGCAGTCTTTACTCATATATACTAAATCCTCTTTTCCATGCATCTTATAAATTATTCCTCCACATATGCAAGCATATAATCAGGAACGCATTTGCAGAATGACTGAAAAGCTTTCTCAGTGATAGCTGTAGCTCATCTGTCCAAAATGGTTGATGGTTTTTATTTTCCACTCAAAACAATTAAAATCACAGCACAGCAAAACACAGCTAAAAATAAGGAAACCAAAAGTTATCCATTCTTTTCACTGTCAGCCACCTGCTACAAATGCTTTTTTCAACATACAGCCCTGGCACACCAAATTATATCAAAAGAAACAAAATAATTTGCACAGAAAGGCAAGTCTTTCCAGAGAATTTGGAGAATGAGAGTCAGCTTAGTAGGTAAGAGGTTTCTTTAAAGAAATAAATTTACATTTTAAATATAGCCAGCTTTATAAAATTGTCTGCAACTTCCTGTATATAAATCAGAGGAGCTTTCATGCTATAGCATACATGCTGATCTCTTCTGCCTTACAACTATGGAAGAACATTCCCATTGCTATCCTCTTGTTCATGTTTTCTTTTTTCAGTTTCTACTAATTTGTTGCTGAGTTCTGCTTTTCAATAAATCAGTTCTATGGAATCATCCTGGGGTAAAAAAACCCTGCATTTTAGTTTATCTGTTGATTCAGTAAGAGCAGAAGAACCGTCTATTTCAGTATTATGTTTGGTTCAGCCCAAACCTCCTTTTCTGAGGATCAACAATATACTCTATTATGCAAACATACTCTCTTATGCATAGTAATGTTGTACTTCAAACTGGAGAAAGCTGTAAGAGCACAAGGGCAAAGTCATCTGAATTATTCTGAAAATATCTTGTTTTCACCAATTGCAAAATGCTTGGCTTTCCTTGCTACTTGCTAATCTATTTTTTCTGTGCCATACTGAATCTCTGTAAGGTTAAGACTCCCTAGTGACTATTCATAACCATGAAACACCAATTCTGTTCTAAGAAATCCAGCTTATAGCCCCACTATTGCCCTATTCTCTTCTGTACAAATGGGCTTTTGTACACACACACTTTCAGGAAATTAGACTCCTCCTCTCCCACATCCTCCCTACTATCCACCACCCCGATTCGCACAAAACACCTCCCTCCCCAAATCAACACTAGTGAATAATTGTATTTTTGTTGGAGCACTTCCAGCTGCTCCACACGTTCCACTCTAGAAGCAATAAATGAAACGCTTCAGCTTTGGCACACTTCTCAGCTTAAACGCACACACACACATGTGCCCTCATTCTGAAAGGGAAGTAAGCAGCATCAAGATCATTCCCAAAATAATGACCTTTCACTTCTCCCTCACACGACTTCCTCTTTTGTTAAAAAAATACAGCACTTCCAATTTCATAAAACCTTCCTCCTTCAGTCAGCTGTTTCTGTTTTAAAATGCTGTTTCTTCCATTGCGTTCATGGGCTCCTAAGGGACCACTGCAGAGGCAGACATCAGATATCCCTGGTGTCAACACTTTGGTGATCTCCTTTCCAGTGAAATCCAAAGAAAAACCTTCAGATGATTTTGTCAAGACATTTTCCCTCCCCTTTCAACAACCAAAAGCTTTTGTGAGCAGAAACTCTTGCCCATGCCTCCTTCTGACTCACCAAAGCAGCCCTGATCATGCTAGATTTTTCCCTTAGTGGAAGCCTGTAAAAAAGGTATTTAAAATTCCTACCTTCCTTGGATTCATCAGCTTCTGAACTCATGGTGTACTTCGGCAACTCCCTGCAGACCAACTCACAGCTGACGTGCGCTTTGAGAAGCAGCAACTCAACTTCTCAAAGAAGAAAAAAAAGAAAAAGGGGCTGGGATTTTAAGGGGAAAAGTCTGCAAATTCAACAAATCACAGCTCAGCTGTGTGAGAACGAATCCGCCCACTTCTGAACTAGCATATGAGCAACTGTCTGGAAAAACAGCACCTTCACAGAAACTCTCCTTTTCCCTGGCAGCAGTTGCCGTTTATGCACTTTATTCCTCCTAGTCTTTTAGTCTGTAGAGAGGGTGGAGTTTTACTTGCTACAGCTTGCCAATGTGGTATGAGAAAGCAAGCGGATGAGACAAAAAAAATCCTGAGCGTGGAACAGTGTCTGATTGCGGTGACTGACAAGCAGATTTGGCTCTGATTTCCTGCTGTAAATTTCAATTTAAATTTTTTTTAGACTAAGCTATACATTGCAACACTGCTTGCTATCTAGAATTAGTTCTGCAGCATCTGCAATTGTACCGACTAATGCAGGATGATTAGATAAATGCTTGAAGCAGCAGCCTTCTTTTAGGTAGTTTAAGCTAAAGAGTTATTTTACTTTGGAAAAAATCTGAAAAAGAGATTTGTTTACTCTGAACACTGTAATTGGTCTCTAGTTCTTGGAAAAAAAAAAAAAAGGGGGAGCTCTTTGTGTTACATACCCTCCGTATATTAATAAGGATTTTAATTTTTGTATTATTTGTTTTACAGCACAGCAAGGGAATAGGCATGTTTTACAGCATTCCCCTAACTACTCACACAACAGAAGTTATGAATAGGTCATGTGCCTTCAGCCCAAAAGCAATGGAATTATTTGGATGCCTATTTTCTGACTGGCAGACTCTTCAGTACAATCCCAAAATAGCTAGGAAGTATCTTTTCCTATTTATTGCTTTACTGTATTTTTAGCACAGCAGGCGGAACAGCCTCCGTGGAAAATGCAATTGCCCGAGCACGGAGGGAGAGGCGCGAGCCCCGACGGGAAGCGCCGGCTGCGCTGCCAGCGCCGGCTGCTCCATGGCGCAGAATCCCTCCCGGTCACCCCAGCTAGTGCAGGGGCTGCCTGCCGGGATAAAAAATATGTCAGGATAAAAAATATGTCAGGATGGGAATAATTTTTGCCTTGTTTTGAGTGGTTTTATTCAGGGTAGGGAAGGCCTTGTGCCTGTACCATGCCTAAGAAAGATCTCATTCTGATTGATGCCTCTTGGTGATGCTGGAATATTTTTACCTGCAGTAAGCACAACTCCACAGGTCTCTCACTCAGAGAAACTCTTCAACTCAAGAAGCTGCCCTGCTACCTACAGTGGGTGATGAAGTAAAACAGCTGTGTCTTTCAAAGCACAGAGACTGAATTGCGATATTAATGTAAATATGTTGCTGAAGAAAAATAATTAAATCAACCATTAAAGAAGTTGCATTTTTAAGCCAAAAAAAAAAAAAAAAAAGAATTACTCCTCCGCATCCTCCTGCTCCCCAAACACTGATTAGGCGTAACTATTGGATAGCAGATTGATATCACTTGAACTGCTCCTCTTCCCTCCAAAAAATAAAGAACAAGAAGAAATATGGTGTTAGCCAATGTTATCTGCAATAGCCTTTGAGGTCCCTTGCTTAAAGGTAGCATTTGGACAGAAAAAAAAAATGTCCAGGACAAAATCAGAGACCAAGAGTCTTCCATAAGTTTTGTAATTTTAGATATATAAAATTTGTCAGACAGATTACAATTCAGAAGACAGATAAGAAAAATCTGATTATTCTGATTTGTTTCTTTTCTGCAGAATCACAGTTGCATCTCCTTAGCCATTACTATTGCTTTTGTGTACAAGGTTGCAAGCCAGAACTTACATACTTTTTTTTTTTTTTTTTTTTAATTTTCATTTTGGATGTCATAGAATCACAGAATCATTAAGGCAGGAAGGGACCTCTAGGGATCATCTAGTCCAACCCCCCTGCTCCAGCAGGGTCACCTAGAGCACGTGGCACAGGGCGGCATCCGGGCGGGTTTTGAAGATCTCCAGAGAAGGAGACTCCACAACCTCTCTGGGCAGCCTGTTCCAGTGCTCTGTCACCCTCACAGGAAAGAATTATTTTCCTTAAGTTCCTGTGGAACTTTTGGTGCTTCAGTTTGTGGCTGTCACTTCTCAAAAATACAGCTGAAAGACTGCAAGCAGCATGAAGATAGCTTGGGTAGGTAATCTTCCAGTCTTAGGATAACAACCAGTGGTTTATTGGGGTATTATCATCCTTACAGCCTCTACCCAATGAAGTAGAAGTCCAGTAGAAGTAACAGAATAAGGTAAAGATTAAACAGAGACTTGATGGACAATGCCCTTGCACAGACAAGAGACAACACTGCAATAATCCAAGAAGATAAAAAATTCAGAGCCTTCTAATTGCTCTGAATGAGCTATGGTGTGAGAAGAACAAAGAACGGTAAAACTCTAAAAACAGAAACTGTAGACAAATACAAATTTCACAGCACAGGTTCCCTTGGGGGAAGGGGTGGGGAGGAGAAGGGAAGAAGGAAAAACTTCCTCTAATCAAGTGCTTAAAATCTACCATATCTTCTCCCATTTGGACAGAGACTATCCCTGAGGAAAGTCCAAAATATTCACAGGAAAGCTAGATCTAAAATATGGGTCAGAATACACACAACACTGTGTTACATGTAATTTTCAGTAGTTGAAAGTTTGAAAACTACGATGGTGGATAGGACAAGGAGGGTAAAGCAAAGTGTTGCCTTTTACACACTCTTTTTCCTTAAATAGAAATAATTCAAAACAACAACAACAAAAATGTTTTAAGTGACCTCAAAGCTCCTATCTCTGTTAACACTAATGCCAGAACGCCACATGAAGTACAGACAGTAGCCAGGCCTTGGTTTACAATGGCAACACATGGGGCATTCTTGAAGGAAGGGTAGCTGTGGATGTCTCCTACCCCGTTTAAAATCTCGCTTATGTTTTGTTTCTCAAAGTACACTTATTTAGTGTATTTTGTGTACATTGTGTGCATCTTCTTAATACAGAATCAGGCAGAAAATCTTACTACAGTTTTATCAGTTTTTAAAATAATGAAAATCATAGAAGGTGTGAAAAAAGGCGCTGAAAACTTAATACTTAAGTATCAAAAGAGAAAATAATGTTGTTTACAGAAAAGAGGAAGCAGCCCCACTAAATGAAAAAGTTTAGGAAGAAGATCTAAAGACGAGGCAGCTGCCACGAAGGCAAGAACAAATCTGCTCCTGCAGAAACTGTGTGGCCATAGAGCAGTTCTAGAGAAGGAAGTGGTTATAGAACATTTCAAATGCTATATATTTTTGGGAGGGGGAAAAAAGAAAAAAAGGAACATCCCAACATCCCAGTCTTTGGTTAATATAGTTAAAGGTGTTTGCTGGTAAGTTTTGCTCTTCCAGAATGTCAGCTTAAATTGCTTGCAAACTTCTAAAAAAAACAAAAATAAGGTACATGTTAACTCCCTGCCACAGGCGATAGCCACCCAAAAAGATTTTTTTTTTTTATTTTTTTGTATTTACAAGCCAATTGTTGATCTCTTGCTGGCCACAACAGTACTGAGCTGTATGAAGCCACATGACAACACTCTGAAGGTGGTAGAGGAAACCTGGGTTTCCCAGAGTCACGCTCAGCTGTGCTAAAAGGAAAAAGATGCACAAGTGCCTTGAGAGGGTCAGTACTGGTAAACCCAGCTGCGATTCCTTCATGCTATTCCAATAGCCATGCCACAAACATTTTCTTTCCCCATAAATTGTCAGGGGTGAGGTCAATGAGACTGCTGTGTGATCACTTTGATGAGAAAGCATTCCACGAAACTCTACCACACAGCACTAGAAAACTGAAAAAAGTAGCAAGTACACAGCTGTCTTCATAGTAAAAACTCAATGCTCGAGGAAGATATCACACCTGCACATGTATAGCCCCAGAACCCTCTGTATCCCCAATATCCATACCTGTTTCTGATACAGAGATTATTTGTTGCCTCATAACATGCTCGGTGCGCTCTGCACGTGCCTGTCTCGCAGCAAAGCTGCTGCTTCGCGCGGATGCCGAGGGCAGCACTAGCACTCACCAGGCCTCTCCCTCCGGCCTTCAGGCTGGCTCGGCAGTAAGGATGAGGATAAGTGGCAAGGAGAGACATTCTCTGCCCTGGCGCCTCTCAGCTCTTGCATCCTTTTGCCATCGGGGCAGCAGCGCTGCGGGCAGCAGCGACAGGCAGGCAGCATTCCCCTGCCTCCCTGGTCCCGTCTGACACGGTCTCCTCGGCCCATAGCTTGAATAACACAGACCCACTCATCCCGTGCCGCGTGACTCATCCCCTGAAGGGGCAGCTTCTGAACTTACGTGGGATTTTGCTTTGCACCGTCCTGCATCTAACATACATTTGACATCGGCAGCAGTTAGGTGAGCAACTTGTGTCAGAAATAGCTTGGAGCCACTTTGAATTACCCACTGCTTGGCGTTACGTGCACAAAGCAGGGGGAAGAGTTTGCTTTTGTTTTACGAACGGAGACAGACCTTAAAAAGAGATTGTTCTCCAATTCCTGCAAGTAATATGGTTAAAGAACTAGAGCTACAATAAAGTTTGCCTCCCTAAAGCAGCCAGTTTTTACAAAGGAAGACTGATCAGAAACCTTATTGCCAAGTCTGCTTGACAGTTTAGCACATAGATGCTAAAGAGATCAATCTCTTTATTTATATGGCTGCTTCTCCACAATTAGATAGCAATCTTATGGCAAGTACTGAGCAACTACAATCAGTAGGAAAAAAAAGAAAAGAAAAAGAAAAAACATGATTTCCAGAAAATAGTTTCTAGGACCTGATGGTTTTCTGCAATACTGGACTAGAAGAAGCTGTATACTACAAAGTCTTTGTTGCTAGCCTAATTCCCATGTCCAAAACCAAGAGTGAATTTCAAGATCAAGCAAGGGTTCATAAATAAGGTTTCAGCTGCAAGATAATCAAAATTACCACAGGAAAGAAAAAAAAATATTGCAGAATCTATCAC